AATCTGAACTTGTACACACTAAAAACACAACAGGGTTAGAAGAGAAATTTGGCTTTACATATGTTAAAAAATATGAACTATGACTTATTAAACAATGTCTCTTATTACTTGTATTTACACCAATAATTATAAATTTTACATGAGACAGCAAATGTTGCAAGTGTGTAAAAACTTTGCAGAACTGTATTTAACATTGTTCTCATTTGCCTCAAGAAATAAAATTACCAAACAACTATTTTTTTTCCAAATTAAGCTCTGCATTAGTATATTACAGTCAGAACAAAATAGACATTTTTTACCTTTTAAAATAACATGCAAAATGTGTCATAAAAATCAACAGCACTGGTTCTGTGATATAGCACAAGTGATACAAAGCCAAGCTCAATGTAGTTACCTTTTTTCTTTACAAAACCCACCCAAACTCCAATAAAGTGACTGAGCTGTGAATTTTTTATATGCAAGTGTGTTTATGATTTTTATATTTATATACGAATAAACATGCATGTATGCACACACATAAATATTTAAACATTTGTTCAAGCTCATTGCTATAGCAAAAATAAATTTGCTTTCCATTACACTATACAGAATCTTTTTTAGACTTTGCTAAGTATATGCTAGTGATAAAAAAAGGCACGTGGAACAAAGCTCTGAACTGTCACCATTCTCATGAGGCTCTTTTGTAAATATCCTATAAACAATCATGGAATATCTTATAGAGCATTGGTTTTTAGAATACAGCAATTTAAACAAAGAACATCTAAAGGCAAGTTGTGCTTAGCTGGGAAAATACATGGATTATGAAAGTGCAGGGGGAAATGGTTTGTACTGGTGAAGAATCAGTCCTAGTAGGAATACCTATATATTGTCTTTATTTAAAAAAAACTGTGAATGACCATGCCTCAAAAGGTCAAAACAATATGTGACAAAGAGAAATAATTACCTGTATTCATTTTATCAGCCCCTTATGGGAACCTTTAGGGTTCATGTGAAACATGCAGTATTCCTCCACAGAAATTTTTCTACTGCTTACAGGACTGAAGTAATGCAACTCTGTGCTCTGCTTGAACTTACTAGGATTGCTGAGGGAGGACTCAATAGCTTGCATGAAGTAGACTGGTTATTTCTGATCACGGTAAATGTATGCTGCTGTGCATGGGAGAACATACTACTGCTAGCTCTCATTGAGCAGAAACACCATATTGCATGGCATCACTCCAATACCGGACCTAGATGCATGTGCCACATTCCACAGCCTTGGAACTGTGGAATTCAGAAACCCACTGAAGCTGTCTCTACAGTGACTGATATCCACAAATAGGTAAGGCACGTCATAGTGTTGTGGATCTCAATAAATAGCACATGAATGGTTAGGAAAAGCTGTCCAAAATCATAGAATCACAGAATGGTCTGGGTTAGAAGGGAGTTCAAAGGTCATCTAGTCCAACCCTCTTGCAATAAGCAGGGGTATCTTCAACTAGATCAGGTTGCCCTGAACTACACCCAGCCTGGCCTTGAATGTCTCCAGATATGGTGCATCCACCAACTCTCTGGTCAACCTGTTCCAGTATTTTACCACCCTCATGGTAAAGAATTTCTTCCTCATGTCCAGACTGAATCTCCTCTCTTCTAGTTTAAAACCAGCACCCCTCGTCCTATTGCAATAGGCCCCAAAAATCCTTCCCTGAAAATTTCCTCCCAAACCCAAGATTTCCCAACAATAAGAATGAGAGAGAATAAGATGTGGATTGACAGCCTGAAATTATTTTCTGGGTCTCTGTTTAAATATTATGTGTGTACAAAAAACCACCAGCATACAATTTTAAAGCAATGAATGTTCTGACTTTAGTCTAATGTGTAAGATCAGAAAATGTATTTAATGTATTTTTTCTGGCCAGAAAATGGAAGATCTGGACTAAAAGTGGAAGATTTAGGAATTCTGCAACCTAAAGAGGCTCACATGTGCATTTCCGTCTCTGTAGCATACTGCCATACCCCCATCCCACAGGGAAGACTGAATGTGGGGCACTGTAATTACAGGCATAAAAATTACAGAGCAAGATAAAGTCCAGTTGCAGCTGAGTCATTTGAAACAAAGTAGTAGTATTGTACTTCATCCCGGGTGTCAGTACTGCTGATCACATTATGTATTTTGCACCAAAGAATCTTTAGGTAAGTTATCCCTTGAGCAACATGTTTTGAATTACTGAAGAAAATGATATCTATCTATTACTGCTACTAGTAAAATATCAACAAATACTTTTAACCTACCCATAATATTTCATGTTCCCTTGTAAAAGAAAGGGAGCTGAAAGATCTAATAATTCAAGATCATGTTCTGTGGATCTCACAGGAATAACACATTTAAATCTTTTTGTAAGCTTCCAGATTTCTTTTAATGTTCCACCTATCAAAAACAGAAAAACATAGTGGTTTTTTTAACCTGTAATCAAGAATAAATCAAGCATAAATCAAACAACTTGCAGTTCTTGTCTGATTAGATATTGATTTCAGGACCTTCAATAAAAACTGAGATCCACTATTGAGAACTGAGAAATTGATCCATTACCTTCTCACTTTTACTCAACAACCAACTCAATAAAGAATCAAAGATGGACATTAACAAGAGCAGACGCCTTAATATCTTCCTTGTAGCTATCACTGTAACTATGAAGTTGTATTTAGTTAGCATCACCTTCATATACTTTCTACTATGATTTTACTAGCAATTTAGTTAGAGAGGAAAAAAAGCAAACTGACTACTTGCTCCTAAAATCTATTAATTTTTATTTACCAGTTTATGAAAAAGTAGTTATTCAACCATATCATAATTGACACGAGGTGAGAAATGCAGAGACACCAAACTTCATCCTAATTTGAGTGCCACTAAATTGGGGCCATGCTATGAAAACAGAAGAAATTTAACATATTAACAGCTGGAATCCTAAGATTTTCCAGTTCCAGTGACAGGAAAAGGTTCAAATTTATTATAAATCACAGGATAATTTGCCTTCTGTCGCTATAGTATGGACTGCAGAACCGATTGCAGAATCTTTTTGACATTTCACCAATTCAGTAGAAATGTGGTTAAATTTATTAATTTAATACATAGAGAATGATAATTTGAACACAGTTCAATAAAAATGTATGATTTAATCAGCTTATGAACAACAACTAAAAAAGACAGCAAACTTAAAATAAATACATTCTACAACTTTGTTGTTTACTACTAACTATAAGATGTTTCAAAGACTTTATGACAAATTATTAGGACACTGGATTGTAAAATATTTATCACATATACTTGTCACTTATATTGCAGAGGTAATAAGAAAATAAAATCAACAAAATTGCATTATTATTGGTGACTGAAAAATGCACAGCATGAAATTTCAATAAACTTAACTTCTAGTAACAAAAAAACAAACCAAACCAAAACAAAAAAGAAATTAAAGAAAACAGAGGCATGGATATTTGAAATGGCTTCCCAAAAGGTTAGAAAATAAAGGTCCTCCAAGTATAGTGACACATATAAAGTCTCTCATGTACACTTGAACACTCATTCAAGGGATTAACATACAAAATTCAGGGTAGTTTTAACTGACATTGCTCAAAGGTCTCTAGAATTTCAAATTTGCTGTAATGCAAAGTTACATCAAGCAAATGTATTCTGGTTTCTAAGAGACTGGCATAAACCACAGAAAATTGCCAAGGATTGACACTAACATGAATCACAGTGATCTCATGTACAAATAATGAAGATATGCAAGGAGTGTTAATCTTATTAACTGTAACATTTCACTCTTCATTTCAACAAATTTGTAGCAATGGTTATAGATTCCTCTCACTCCCTGTGGAGGGTCACATAAAATTCTGTCCATTACCCAACTATTTCCTTGATTCCAACCCAAAAGACGCCAAACACTCAAAAAGAAGTCCTTGCTTCAGCATAATGATTATGAGGAAGAATAGAGTATTGTGTTGTAGAAGAGCAAATTGCTTGTGTTTAACAAATGAGTAGAATTTAGATGATATTTGTCTAATAAATGTTATAATATGTTTGGCCTTTGCAGGTTGTCTGTAACTGGAAAAGTGCTGGGAAGATTTCTATGGGGACTTCAAAATCTCCACCTCCAAAATCTTAGAGATAAAAATTAAAAAGCATGTAGCTTTAACAAGTTTCATGATCAGTGTTCTGGGAAAAGTGTGAAAACACTGATTCTGCCTTTTCCTTGAGCTCCAATATGAAGCACATGAATCCACATAAACACATACTTAGCTGCTGGCACTTTAATATCAGAAAAAAAGATTTACCAAGATTTTTTTTTATGTATATAGGGTGTTTTTTTCCCCCAGTTATTTTAGGAACTCACAGTAGAAATAGATTACTTTTTCTTTTGCTTTCACAAATATAAGGTTAGATTGAAAAAAAAAAAATAAACCCCACCAAAAATCCAGTTTTGAACATGTCAAAAACAAAGCAACTACCAGAAGTAGTTGATTATAAAACAACTATAAAACAGAAGGGGTTTTGTCACTGACCCTTACACAAAGGGCCACCTGACTTATTCACACCATCACTTGAGCACAACTGAAGACTTTGTTTTAAACTCAGAATGGTACTATATGCAATTGTTTTCTATTCAAAACATTCCTTATTAGTATTACTGGTAAATTGCTTTGTTTAACATTCAGCAGCTATTTTTGTCCCCTGAGGAAATCTTACAAAAACCAAACCAAAAATACCTCTCACTGCAAGAAGCTCTATTAATCTGAAACAACACTGACATCCAGAGGCTGACAAAGTTAATTCTAGGCTTATACTATCAGAAGCTTTCCAAAAACTTTTCCACATTAATACTAAAAATAGATTTATTTTTTTTTAGAAGACTCTCAGTTGTCAAACCAGAACTAAGAAATCAGTAAGCACAGCTAGAAAAAAAACATATTGAGATGTTAATTTTAGCAGAATCAATAGTAAATTTATTGGTATAAAGTAGATCTTACAAGATTTTCGTAGATAACTTTTTGCTGTTTGCACAACAGTAACTTAAAGTTCCAGCTGAGTTTTTCTTTTCTTTGAAGATGCCTTTATGATCATGTATAATTACACTGAATACACCTTCAACATATCTTAAGTTTATATGTGCTCAGAGGGGACACTGTGCTGTAGGAAGTGGTGTATTTGCAATTTGCCTTACCTTCTATCATAAGCAAAGCATTTTGAGGTTGTTGAATCATTTCCTTATGCCTTACAAAATGGATAGCTATTTTCCTTTGTTTCTGGTCTTGTGTAGTCCACATTACAGAATCATACCAGGACGTGTTGTGTAATTCTGGGTTTGGGACGGCAGAGCCTTGTAAAATCAAGCCCAGCTCATCTCCATGTGGAACTTCTTGCCTAAAACAATTTCCAAAGTGAGTAAGTAAACTCTAACAGCTTCTCCTTAGGCAATCTAGCAACAAGGACAACAGTGCTCTGAATAAATATTAAAATATAGTCATAAGAGTTAAAGTATATACAGGAAAAATAACTGGTTTGTATCAGCTTAGACATTTAGAGTTGCATAGCAAATCATGACAAGAGAATTAATTTCTGTGTTAATAAATACGCTAAGTATTCTAATTGTAGGATTAAGGAGCAGAGGCAACCTTGCGACTTCATCCACATGTATGTACATCCATGGAATTAAAAAAAATTATACAAGCTTTACATAATTTCAACTGGGCCTGAATCCACATTAAAAGGGCCACACAACTTCACACCATTTCAGTAGAGTGGAAAGACTGTGTAAACTCATATAATTTCAAGTTCTGTGTTCTAGCCTATTTTACTTTGCATATTTGGGGGGTTGGGGAGAAGGACAGGAGCAGAATAGCTTCACATATGTCCTGTAAAGGGAAAATCTGCAACTCCGCACCACCACACAGTTTCTTTCCTATTCAGCTAGAATGTACCATTTGTGCATTTCCAGTTGTCACCCAGAGAAGTAATGCAGGTCATTTAAATTTTACCAACATTGCCACCAACAGGCAAAAAGCCAGTAGTTGGCACACAAATTAAAAATGCCTTAGAATGTATTCTCCTAAGCAAGACAGGGCTTCAGCAATATGAACCACGGTAAAAAGGACAATGAAGGGAAAAAAAAAAAAAGCAACAGCCTGGGCTGTTTCACAAAACACTGAAAGAAAGTAGGTGCCAAGCTTCAGAGTGGCATTAAAGAAAACACACCATTAACTCCTGCAGATTATTCTGACAATTTCACTTTCAAACCCAAGAGCAGCTGCTTCCACCAGCAAATAGAATATTCCTGCCTCTGAAACCAGATGGTGATAATTCTTCTGCTGTGACTATAGAACTGGCACACAAGAGGTCTTCCTGAACCTGAACTTTCATTTCATGAACACAGTACTGTTCACATGAACTCTTTCCACCTGTGTTCCTGGATTACTATTTTAAATGCAAAAGCAATGGACCTAACATAACAGGTCATCTTTCTAGATACACCCATTAAAATCTTCCAGCCTCTACAGTCTGCCTGTAGATTTCCTGCAGAGGCAGGAATGGAATGAATTGGGTTTGAACTAAGCTACACATGAGGGTTGAAGCTTCTTTAATGCGAATACATGAATAAAACTATCCAAGTATACTGATGTTTTGCTATTTACAGAGAAACTTCCAGTCGTAGTCTAAAAATCAAGAATATGTCTCTCAAGGATTTTATACCAGAGGTGTTACGTGCATCTTACTGCACAAAGTGTTAAAGAATCAAACTTGCATTGAACTTCATTAGTTCATACTAATAAAGCATACACTAAAACGTTAAACAACTTCAGCCACAGCAGAACATGTAGGAGAGAATTATGCCTCCAAATGTTTCCTTCCCGGGCTTCTTAACTTACCCAAATCCAGGCTGCAGTACAAATCCACTAATTTTCACTACGGGATAAGAATAAAGTTCATAAGGAACAAAAAAAATCTTGTCAATTGTATCTGCTTATTACAGAGTTGGCAAATATATCAAAAAAGTAACAGAAGTGGAAGAGAGAGCTGGCAATTTTCTCCTTTTTATACTTGGTAATAAAGACCATGTACTCGTATGATGTGAACATGATGAACCACTTTCTTGTACATTAGCAACCAAGAGAATGTTATAACAACGTCTGACAAGGACTAATATTGTTAAAGCAGCAAGCATACAACTTAGTATCCAAAAGCTGTCAGAGAAGAATAGCAGGGGCATTTTCTTGTCACAGTAATATTTGTATTTAATACTTTTTCACTAAGCAAAAAATTTCAGAAGGTTAGGAAAATGCTAACGTGTCATCTTTTAAAGAAAGAAGTACTTTAGTTTCACCAGTAACAATAATTAACTGTGCTTGGGACAGATGCTAGGCTAAGTCAGGCAAAAAAATTTGACACAGGATTCAGATGATCATGAATAGGACTGTATAATAACGCGTGTATCATAACGAGTGGTGTCCCTCAGGGATCGGTG